AAGCGAGAGTTTCACGAGATAAATAGTCAGAAACTAGGGGGAGAGGGTAGCAAAGACTAACGAGCCTCAGGCCACCCTAGAGCACCACCCGACTTTCAGACTCCCCACTCCAGGTGGGACTTCCATGCACCCTCCTGCAGGTGATGGGTGCCTGGGTAATTTCGTCCCCAGCTCCCGCGGATCCCTCGCCCAATCTGAGAGAAAAAAAGAAAAGCCGAAATTCTACCCGAAAACGCACACCATTACCTTACCCCAACAATGGTTTCTTTCCTTCCATTACTAAGACTAGAAGCCTTGATGAAAAGCTGCTGCCGTCGGTGTTAGGAGAGAGCTGGGGAAGGGGCGCCGTGAGCCCGAGATGCTGGGAAGTTTGCACAGAGCACCGGCCCCTCCCAGTCTCTCCCCAGACAGGCCCCACTCCTCCAAGCTTAGGTGGGTATATCCGGGCTCTGCTCTCTTAAAAGCCAGAATCCCATGTCTTTTGAGTGTTTGGATTCCAGGTTTTAAGTATTTTTGGAGTTAGAAAAGACAAAACTAGGCAATGGCTGCAAACTTGAGGTACAGGGGCGAATACTAAAGTTTGAGAAGTACACCCCAATGGAAAACTTGGGGGGCACCGTCACACCCCCACCTTCAGGGGCTGCTGTAGGGGCTGCCCATGACACCCAAATCTTGTGAGTAACTAGGGATAATAGCTAGTTCACCATTCCCCTTTAAATTGGATCCCTAGTGGGGACAGTCTATTTTGATTTATTCTTGCTTTCCCTCAACTGCTTTCTCTATGATCTTTCTCAAAAAAAAAAGAAAGCAAGAAAGAGAGAGAGAGAGAAAGAAAGAGAGAGAGGGGGGGAAGAAAGAAAGAAAGATAGATAGATAGATAGATAGAAAGAAAGAAATCTGTCTTCTTCCTTCTAGCCTGGACCACAGATCCAGAGCGAGAATCCAGGAACCAGCTCCAGGAAATGATAATGTGAAGAAGATTAGCAAGATTCGAACTGAGCAGCCCAATCTTTGCAGTTCTTTCAGAAGAAGAATGCCTCCAAGGATTCCAGGCCTAAGCACTTCTCCCTTCCTTGGGCGGGAGGAGTTCCAGGAATTAGATGCTGTGTCTCTACGAGGGCTTGTGCCCTGGCACTACTCTGTTCCAAAAATGGTTGAGGATATCTTTGTGTTGTTGTTGTTGTTGTTGGTTGTAGAAAAGGCCTTCACATTTAAAAAGAAAAGCCTTCTAGTATTCATCCTCCTCGTGGCTACATTAAAGTGTCCTACAGTAATGGGCACTGACTCCTAACTCCCCAAGGCCTGTAGTGGGTGCCTTCAGTGGAAGAATTGCACAGAAAGATTTTATCTGGGTTCAGGGGAGGAGTGGTAAGTATGTTGCCTAAACTCACTGGACAAGCGTGGGCCAGGAGGTCCACATCTGGCTTCACCTTTGTCTAACATTCAAACTCACCTCATTACTGCCCAATTACATTGGCCTCTTTAAAACAAGGGCCTTGGCACTTTGAAGACCTGGTCTCCAGTCCCTAACTATTGTGACCTTTCTGTCCTTTTCTTGAGATACTGCTTTGGGTTTCCCTACCTAGACACTGCGCAGTTGCAGTGGTACAGCCCCCAGACTCCAGGCTGGGTACATACATAGCAAAGGCCTAGGGAGCATGGCTGTGCCTAACCTGATTCCAGCTCTGCCGCACGCACGCACGCTTGTGTGCTCACTGAATCCCAAGCCTGCTTAGGGAAGCCATCTGCAGAACAGGCCTAAGAGCCTACAGTTTGTTCTTTGCAGGCCTCGCACCCGGGCAGTCATAGGTGCCGAGTGAAACCTCTACCACCACACAGGGGGCTCTGCGGGTGTCTCCATCTTTGTCTCTGGGGCTTCTTTCCTCTCGGCAGCTGTTGCCATCTGCTGCGTATCAGGGCTAAGGTACTGGTCCCCCATCTTTGGTATTTAACAACATCAATACCCCAGCAAGCCCGCAAGCCAAAGGCCTTTTACAAACCGTAGTAAACATTTTATTTACAAGTTAAAGGACTCCTAAGTGCAGCGTGTCCTTATGCCAAGACCCCTGGTGCTCGGAGGAACAGTTCCGTCAAACACTTCACAGTGTGAGCTGCTTCGGTAGGGAGAACAGTTGAATTCTTTGGCGGGGGGAACCTCAAAACTTTCCTGTCATTTGGGAGCTATAGGCCTCAGGCAGCCTAGGCAGCAAGAAAAAGGGTACGAACCCCCAAGAAGCTGCCCTTGGCGTCTCCCGCCTTGGCGACCCTTGCCACCAACTAAAGTAGGCACAAACTCCAGCCAGTGTTGGGGAAGCTGCATGCCACGCCATGCCGTAAGTACCCTAGGTCCTGTCTATAAACCTGCAAGCGGGGCTTGGGCAGGCTCCGGGCTCTGGGGATTGCTGGTGACTGAGGGCTGGTGCGCGGGGAGCAGCTCAGAGCAGCTGCCGCCAAGGCTGTTGGCACTACCCGCGCCCGCGTTGCCGCTACCCAGGCTGCTGGCGCTGCTGAAGCTGAAGCTGCCACCGCTCGCACTGCCGCTGGCTGTGATGAGGGCGCCCGCGGCGGAGGCCTTGATGACCGTAGTTTGGTGCAGGGACCGCTCAGTTCCCTCAGTCCGTTCTGTGTCGCTGGGGGCCATGTCCAGGGACTCCGAGTCACTGCTCTCACTCTCGGCCTCGCCCTCGGAACGGCTGGGACTTCTCTCTTCCAGTTCGCCCTCGGCGGGCGCTCCTCCTGAAGGCTTTTCGCTGGCTTCCTTGTCCTTGTCCTTCTGCGCCTGCGCCTCCTTAGAGTGTCGCCACTTCATTCTGCGGTTCTGGAACCACACCTTCACCTGTGTGCAACATCAGACGAGACACGAGATTAAATAGCTGCCTACACCTGGAGTTGGCCCCCTAAGAGAAGACAGCAGGGCAGAAGCTCGCTACGCCTGCGGAACCCAGACACTATAGCTAAGCTAAGCATAAACACCCAGGAGTTATCAAAGGGTGAAACCCACCCAACCCACTAAGGAACATTCTTTTAACGTGGACCTTGAGTCTCAAGCCTAAAATGACCTGGGTACAAGTGAGGGACGGATTTCTTGTAGATTCTTCGTAATCTCACCAAACACAAGACTGATTAAAATTAAGGAGCCATGACCCCCAAACTGCAATGTATCCTATTGTGTACACCATGCCAAGGTTTTGATGAGCCATTATGAAGAGCTTCTGTACACACACACACACACACACACACACACACACACACCCTGCACCCCAGGCATTCACTACCCAAAGCAATTCATTGCAAAAATTCACCTTACCACCCCCTCCCCTTAGGAGTTTTGAGTCAAGGTCTCTCTCTTTGAACCAGGCTGGCTTTGAACTTGAGATCCTCCTGCCTCTGCCTCCTGGGTACTCAGATTACAGCCCTTGGCCACCACTGTTTGTTTTAAGGGTGGAGTGGATAAAAGGACAGGGGAAACCAATGAGTTAATCCCATCAGAATGGGTACCTGCTGGGCTTTAGGTTAAAGGAGGCTCACTTTAGCATATTTTTACCTAAGAGTTGGTGTAGACCCTGTCTTTGTGAGAGACAAACTTATTCTCCCGGGGCTCAAAAAATCCTGGGATTAAATGTGCAGCTATGTAGGAACAGGGAAGAGATGGAGGGAAAAATCTATATAAATAAATATATGATCTCCTGGGGGGAGCGAACGAACTCACACAAGTTCCAGCTTCCCCTTTAAAAATACCATGCACAGCTGGAGGAAAGCGGCTGGGCTTTCCCGAGTGTCTGTGTGCTGAGGAAGCGTGTTGTGTAATGGAGAACAGAAAGACACGGGGACAGAAGTCCGAACCAGGCAGCTAGAGAGAGAGACCAGCCTGCTTAGGCTTCTGCTCCGTGGAACTCTGAAGCAATCAAATGTAGAACAAGAGTGTGCTGTAGTCAAGAAAGCAAACAGAAACTCTAATTCTTGAAATTGAGAAAGAAAAAAATGTTCCAGGACAATAGATTTCCTATTGTCTTTTTTTTTTTTAATCAAATCGGCAGGACCTACTGAAAAATGTTCTTGGACACCCTAAAAAATTCTTTTTTTTCTTTCTCTCACTCAACTCCATCACCAAGGACACCATCTTCAGAAGCTGGGCTGTTAAAAAGTGGGACTGTGCCTGCTCCAAGCCCACTCACTGTCTTAAGGCGATTCAAAGTCATTCTGTTTGAAATTATATTTTCAGTTCCTCACAAGTGGGATTTCACAACCCAGTGAAGGAAGGCAGGAACCAACAATAATCTATTGACTCTGGGTTTTATCTCTTCTGAAATAAACTGCCTCCTACAGCGAGGCGCACTCCAGTCTAGTGGCCTTTTCGCTTTTCTCCACAGTTCTTTGGCCTCTTGGCCAAAATAAACACGCGATGATTGTTGACATACATCTTCAGGAATGGGCTATTCTTTCCGTCCCTCTCCTCCTTCTCCACCCCTACCCGCCTCTCCTCTGGCTTTGAGCTGCTACACCACAAAGCCTCTCGAAATTCAAGACGTTGTGTTTTGACTGCTGAAGGTAAGAAGCTGTGGAAGAGGCCTGCGATCTACCTTGTTTACCGTTTACTGCCAGAGGGAGAACACCCAGCCAATGGCTTACCTGTGCATCGGTGAGTCCCAGCATCGCTGCCAGCTGCTTTCTGTCTGGCTTCGTCACATACTTCTGGATCTCAAACCTCTTCTCCAGGCCCTTCCTTTGGAGATTGGAAAAGACCGCTCGGGACCATGAGCGCTTCCTCTTGTATGTCTGCGGCATGGTGTCCTTGGTGAGCACAGCATAGGGACCTGCCAACCAGCAGGAAGAGAGGTTCAGGACCCTGTTAATGTTAGTGTGACCGCAGTCTGTGGACCTCTGACTCTCATGGATATTTAAAGGTGTTTTGAATTCACAGTCACCTCCCAGTTCCTTTCCCTTGTGCTAGAATGGCCTAAGGAAGAATTTTTATTCCCCCCTCCCCCAGATGACTTTAGGCCTAAAGCCGGGAAGAGCTGGCTACTGTACCGTGGATTCGTTCAAGAGAGATGCATAAACTAAATGCACAGCCACCAGACATGCTAAAATAGCTGGAACTGCCCCTGGGGCCTAAATGACCTGCCAGTGACAGCCCCACACTCCTCCACATTTGTCTTCCAGGGGTATAACCAGCCAAGCAAAACTAGGTGTGTGTGTGTGTGTGTGTGTGTGTGTGTGTAAGAGAGAGAGAGAGAGAGAGAGAGAGAGAGAGAGAGAGAGAGAGAGATCATTTTCAAACCACCCTCTCTGGACGAAAAGAATAGGGCCAGTGGCCCACATACACACTATCTTGGCTCCCCTCTCTTCTCCAACTGTCCCACTAAAAAGAACATTCAGTTTCTCTTATAGGATTTGGGAGGCTCCTACCCCGACTATGGGGTTTCGACCCTTTGCAGCGGCATCAGACCGAGATTTCTAAAGGCAGGCCCGGCGGCTGACCACTAAGTTCAGAGATTCACGGACTGAACTCGGGAAGTTTTCTACCTGGAAATGTGTCTTGGAATTGATGCTGAACAGAACTTCTTGGGTTGGAGCTTAAGGGGCTGAGGATAGCAGACGCCTCGCTAATGGGCTCTAGAGACGCGAAGAACTGTCCAGTCGAAGGCTGCAGGCCAGCCAGGTGCACCCCTGCAGGACGCCCACCGGTTAGCAGCGAGGTGAGATCTGGGTGGCAGGAAAGAAGAGTCGGTTACATGTTGGACAAGCTCATACCCTCTCTTCCCTTCTCCCTTGATCCAGTTTTATCCGATTGAAGTCAAGAAAGACCCCTATATTCACGGGAAGCAGTTTCCTGACAGCCGCCAAGAGTGGGGCTTGAACCGCCCCTGTATCAACCACGTCCAGTCTACCCCCCCCCCCAGCAAGAAAAAGCTTTTCATAAAATGGTGCTAAGATGCTAGCTAGCCCCCTTCCTCTGCCTTCTCCCCTCCGGAGCTTAGACTAGCAGTTTTGCTTCCCCACAATTCTTGGGAAGCATTTTACTGGAAATCAAATAAATGCAAAATGTCCCCACGCCGAGATTTCCCTATGAGAAAGGCCTATGTCTTTCTGTAGATATGCCATTCAAAAGACAGGTTATACCCACCCACTTTTGCAAAAGTTTACAGCGATCAGGTTGTTGACACGCGTTCTGTGCTGTATAAGCATCCGAGAGTCACTTTTTACTTAGAGTAGCTGAGTTTTAAATGTCTCATAGTTATCTTACAATTCGTTTTCTTCTCTGTCATTCTACCGATTTGTCCTTAAGTGTAAAAGCACACAAAACCAAACCAAAAACCAAACCAAAACAACAACAACAAAAACCCGCATGGGACCAGGGCCCATGGTTATGAGGCCTGAAGCCTCCCAACCAGAACGTACCTCTCAGAGTGTTGCCTTCCTTGACTTTCGGGTCAAACTCTGAAGACAAAATTCGGTCGATTCCAAATTTGAGGTCTTTGCTGGAGGGGGCAGGGGCGGAGCCGCTATGGTGGGGGACCACCCGCGTCCCTGAAGCCGGTGGCTGCAGGGAGCCCGCCCGAGGTGGAGGCGGAGGCTGTTGCTGCGACTGTTGTTGGGGCTGCGTTGGTTGTTGCTGCGGGAGATGTTGGTGATAGGCAGCCGAGAGCGGGGACAGCCGCTGAGGAAAGCCAGCCGGGACTTCTGAAGGCGCCACCACCGGGGTGGGACGTAGCGGGGATCTGGTGGCAGCTTGGAAGGAGGCGTGCGGGTGCACGGAGCCCAAGTGCGCGGTGAGGGCGGCGGAGGCCCCCACCAGTCCCTCTGCGGCGGGCCCGGGCTCCCCGACGCCGGCGTGCAGGATGTCC